CTGAGCTGCACCGCCGGGCGGACTGCGACTGAGCGGGGCGGGAACAGCGCCGGGCAGCCCGCCCCTCGCACCGCCGAGCTTCACCGCCGGGCGGACTGCGACTGAGCGGCCCCGCCGAGCGGCGGGAGGGAGCGCCGGCATGGAGCGGCCCCGGCGCTGCCCCCGCCCGCCGCGGTGCGGACCGGCCGAGCCGGGCAGGGCACGGACAGGGCGTTTACCGCAGCGCTACGCGGGGATGGAGCCGCGTTAGAGGAGCGGGAAGCTCTACATCGTCACCGTTCCGGTTGACACTGGCTCCCGGTAGCACTCCCAGTGTCCCGCGGTGCGTGAGCCGACCGCAGATCGCAGAATTCCACATTTATCCTCAGCGATCCCATCCCCGGTTCGTTCACAAGCGAGTGCTCCCCGACCCCTCGGTCAGGTCCCCCCGAACGGGCCCTCATAGCACAAATGACACCAAGGGCACGGCTAGCCAGGACAAGGAAGGGTTATCAGCTAAAAACTGCAATACGGAGGAATAAGCCAAATGGTCCAAACAGCTTAGTTGAAATTAAAGAGAGACAAGACTCTGCTCTAAACAAAGCAGAGTTTGACCTCGGGAAGCAATAATGGATTTGCTAAAACAGGCACAGGAGCTTCAAGAAAAATTTCTGAATGTTTTCATCCTCTCTGTGTAGGCTGGGTCGATATTAAAGCACCTGTCATTAAATAAAATGTGTTACGGATTTTTCTGTCTCTGAGCTGGTAACTGCTTTTCCTCTCGAAAAAAAATGTACACACACACAAATACTACTGTTAGATCAGTCTGAGAAGGYATGAACAGAGACTTGCATTTCCTGTGTAGTTCTTCAGTAAAGTCCAATCTTCTCAAAACTTACTTTGGCTCAATATGTAACATTTATTTCACCAATTCACACAAACTGGTTACAGCACCACGCGCYATTATTTGACCTTAGTGCACTCAATTTGCTATACACTTGTGCTTATTCTCTATAAAACCTGCTACTGTAATCCTCATGTCCCTCCCAGCAGCTCTCACTCTGAGAAGTCACTTCAAACAGATTTTTGTAGGAGATACTAATAATTTAATCTCTCCCTTATTAAGATGTTCCCATTTAAGTAGACACTATATACCACATGAAAACTTCCATTAGATGCAGTCCATATTTAATGTCTAACAAGCATTTAATCTCTCTACATAGTTAGAATTAGGGGATTGGCATTTTTCCTTCAGTGGAATGACATTTTGAGCCTTTTTAAGGCTTAGTCAGATTTTAAAAGCCTCCGGTACTCACACTTTGAGACTAGTTTGGTTCTTTGTGATTTTGGCTAAGTTTTTTAACAGAATRCATAGGACTGTCCTGAGTGTCTAAACGGATTATAATTTTAGCTGTACAACTCTGTTCACATAAAAGCTAGCAGTCCTAAACAGCGTAAAAGTTCTTTGAATGGACTTTGTGCTACATTGAGCACGGCTGATAAGGATATCATGAAACTAAAATAGTGTTAAATATTTGTTAATGTTTAACTGCGGATGATTCCCAGTTTCTATTTAGTATTAGCCTTCCTGATTCAGAAGGCAAACTGATTGCATGAAAGCATTAACTGGATACATTTTCAAAAAGAAAATAGTTAAAATACTTATAATAGTATCATTGCTCCGCAGTAAGTACTGTCTCTCATTGTTTGGACACACCATCCCAGTAACCCAGGGCTTTAGTGCTTCTCTGTGCTTAACATCCTCATTAACTGATCGATCAACTCCTATATTTAATTTTTAAAACATATATACTGTTCATACTAGTAAACTAGTTGGAATCCCACACAATTTTTGAGTGAAGTTGCATTCCATTTTATGCAACAATTACAAAGTACTGATACTGGATTTAAGGTTCATTACATTGTAATATACAATGAATGCAAAGCCCTGCTCAATTCACTCCAGTAATTATATCGCAACACTTGAATAGAAAATTTTGGTTTTCACCAGACTAAGTATGCAAACTGTATATAAAAGTTTTAGCTTAATTTATCGCTGCTACTAATCAATCATTCCACATATTGATCACTGTGTCTCATCATTCACTTCATAAGTGAAACTATGGGGAATCAGAAAAGGCAGCTCTCTCTGTTTAGAACAATTAAATGAAAAAAAAAAATCTTGTAAATGAAAACTGATCTACAGGTTTTAAGGGAGGAGCTTGTTTGGTTTGTTTGGTTTTTWTAATCAGACTATTGTAACACCACAGTGGTGTCACATTGCAGTTCCATTAAAAGGCGGAAACAAATTGCATACACCTCCTAAAAACTGCAGTTAGTAAAGGAGAAATCCCATTACAGACCTTCAAGTTTAACGTTCTTCTAAATTTGTTTAAAAAAAGAGCATTTGGAAAACATTTAAAAATGAGAATTTGCACAGAAAAGAAGTTACTCCAGTAATGTACAGACTACACTGAAAGACATTTCAAGAGTTCACAAGGAAGTACAGCCACAGTGTTCTTGGTAAATATTTTCCTTAATTCCACCTTTAGTATTCAATGAGGTGTGGCACAGAACAATTGTGCATTGAAATTTTAAGACCTACCAGTATTTGCTGATGGTGGGATCAAACTTTTAGTGTTAGTTCAAAACCAGAGGAACTCATGAGAAATTTCTCCACACAAGAACTTTAGGTATTATTAGCACTAATATAAATCTTTTTCCAGGTACTCTTTGTTAACATTTTATAAAGCCTTGGAGTACTTGTTAGCCAATAGGGTTTCTTTTGGTCATGTTCTCTCCCTCAAATGTTTCAGCATTACGAAAATAATTTCCAACACCACTGGACTAAAACTGATTTGTCTACTTACAAAATCTCAAATTGCAGGTTTTTTCAGAATAACAAACTTTACAAGAGACACTGTAAATTATTTATTTACACTATAGACAACTTCTACTACATTTGCAGCTTTGCATCAATAGTTTAATATAGACATTTTAAAAGCACCCTTACAAACAAAAGTATTGCACTGGCATTATAAAAATTCACAGTAAGTTTAACTTCCAGACCTTGGTAAAAAACAGTGCAAGAGCTTTTCATTGTGCAAGAGCTTTTTATCCAAACCTTCGAGGTTATTAAAAATAATAATTAAGATGAAACAAAACAATAAAACCAACTATATGACAAGCTGCAGGGATTTTTCAGCAAAATCAGGTTCAATTCTTTCATTCTCAGTTCTTAAAGAGATTTTGTGGGATYTTTCTTCATCATTTCAAAGCATATCCAGTCCAACACTGAAATGGGTGCGTTTGGCAGAGATATGGCTCCACATGTCCATTTTATGGAGARTCCACATTGGTTGCAGAAATTATTCCACAGTGAGAAAATCCAACTGCTTTGAGTAGGGAATTCTCTTTCCAAAATTTGTTGCAGTTCCCCCATTTTTGGGGGCATCAATAGTCATGTCTTCAACAGATCCTGAAGGTAATGCATTAAGAAATGGTTATTCCAAATAGAACAAACGGTCATAAAAAATTCCAAACTGCTATTTGAAGTTAATTTTCAAAGTACTTTTCCTCATGTTTCAGAGCCACTTGGGACCCAAAGGAAAGATACTTCAAGTCACCAGCCCATCTGCAATAGTGCCCAATTGTGTGATATCTCAATAAAAGCATAAGAATATGGCACAYGAGTCATGCCTCCTCAGAATATCATCTCAACTGCCATTATGCCCCAGGTCTTCCTGAGACAAACATATTATCTTTATATCTCTTCTGCTTTTTCCTTTGAATTTTTGAGCCAGTAAATATTTTTCTGTCCCACTGTCCCATGTCAAATAATCCCTCACTTCAATTACAYAGCACATGACAATTTGCTTTGGGATGCTGGCACTACATACCTTTCCCATACTGGCTGTATAGATTGCTAGAACACGTTATACTCTGCATCTCTTCAGGCTTGAGGATCTAATCTATCTGTTATTCCTTTAATAGAAGCATTCCATATCTTGAGAACTCTCACCCTTCTCTACTATAAAATTTTTAAGATGGGAAATGAGAACAACATATAGAGTTCCTTTAATAACTTAAAAAAGTTAATGCTTGAGAACATTTCCAAATGGCCAGTACAGTGAGGGGTGTTTTTGGTTATTTGGGTTTTTTTTGGTTGGTTGGTTGATTTTTTTTTTTTTTTTKGTTTGTGTGTGTGTGGTGCTGGTGTTTTTTTCCCTCCTCATCCAGACAGTATCTGACCAAACATGTTCAACCTGTTCGGTTAAGTTCATAAATATCTTCAGATGGGGAGAGGATTTGGTCTATCAGCAAGGAATGACCTGATTCAGGCAGTAGTTTACGAGAAGGTCTAAGGTACTTYGGATGAACTTACTTCAAAAGGGAACTCTGAATTATCTTTGAAGGTGAAACCATKTGTTATCCTTTATTTCACCTTGCAAGTAGAATCATAGAGTTTATGTTACAATACGTAACATAACTCTTATACACTCCCTCTGTTTTGGTTCCGTCTGAATTGCCATTACTGAAGTTTGTTTACTGTGGCAACAGAAGCTGCTATTTACTTGGGATAACTTGTACTAAAGCACTATATATAGCTACCTTYATAAGTAGGTATAATAAAGCTAATTAGATTCAGGAATAAGACTTGAAATATTTCAAAATAATGGATAACTTTCACTGCTAGAAGTTCATTACAACAGAATACAYGTCCATGTACATATAGTGCAAGTAGGACCATCTACAGAGATAGATTATCTGCTGAACTTAATACCTGCACTTGCYGTGATCTTTAGATGAAAAAGTTAGGCAAAGTCATTTATAAATCCAAATCTTTCCCTGCAAATATGGACCCGTCAGTTTTCGACCATTAAAAAAAAAAAAGTCTGAAAAGAGAATGACTCATTTCCACCAGGCTGTTTTCTAATTGCAGGTGTAGTTAATAATAAACTAAACAGCAGTAACAAATCTTTGAAAGTTGTATTGCTATTCTTTTCTGCCTCCTGCGAGTTTTCTGTTAAGCAATAATTATCTATACTCAATCTCCCTATTGTTAAAACTTCCTCTCAAAAAAGATTATGTAGCTTTCATGAAAGAAGATGATTTCTACACAAACTTTTCTTAATCAATAGTATCTTCAGAATTTAGTTTCAGTGAACAGCAGGAAAAGCTGATCTTGTACATAGTGAATCATAACAGGGAGATGTTTAGAACCTTGAACAGTTCAAACACTTGGTGTGAAATTGTGTTTACAGTTCCTTCAATAAAGGATTTTACATAGTGAAGTAAAAGCTTGACATTTTTCCCCACACACATTTTCAAGGCATTAAGCATGCCTTTCTTCCTAAATGAACATGCCATATAAATGAACATATTAAGGGTACTTTGAAAAGCTTGATGATCTTCAACCATGCTTTGAAATAGGACCTAGACACTTCCCTTGCACATTGGACATTATCATATCTTTTCCAGATGACTGAGGTTCAAGACAAGTAGTTTAACAAATGATTGCATTTATGAGTTTCAACCTATTACCTACAACTCTGCCCCCAAGTTAAATACCAGTCAGCATTTCACCTTTTTCTCTCAGGAAGCAGCATTTCATCGTGCTAAAGGGGGGATTCCCCTCCCAAGAGCTCATGCAGTGCAGCGGTTAATGGCTTTTTCTGGCAGCATTTAACTACTGTTAGGACCATTTTAGAATCCCACGGCTCCTGGGCTGCTTTCTGCTCGCCAGCTCCACGRCACTCACTGGGCTTTACACCTGCTCACCTTTTCCGTTCTTACATGGCTACAGAAAGTGCCTTCCCTGCCTAATCACATTTGTGCAAACTTTGCCACTCGTTTTTGTTTTTACCGCCTGAGCTCAGAAAGATTCCCCACTACTTCAAGAAGCGTCAGCTGCCAGCAGGTGGTTTAACATGGCAAGTGTTATACTGAATTTCGGGCAAGAGAGCTCTCCCAGGCTCTAGCCAAAGTCAAAGTCCACAGGGTCGCTATCCCGTCCCGGGCTCTCACCTGCCGGGGTCGGCGCGGCGGCCGCGGGGCCCCGGGACGCGCTGCAGCTCCATCTCCGCGGGGCGGCCGGGGGCAAGCGCGGCCGTCAGGCGGAGGCTGAGGCCGTTCACCAGCCGCCGCAGCAGCGTGTCCCCGCGGCCCTTGGGCGGCGACAGCCCCACATCGTCCCGCAGCTCTTCGGGCGGCACCTCCAGGTTGCCCGCGTACCAGAASACCCACCAGACGAGGCTGAGGAAGATGCCGATGCCGCCCGCGTAGATGAGCAGGTCGGAGAAGAACACGTCGGCGAACACGCCGGCCAGCAGCACGGCCAGCCCCAGCGCGTCGAAGGCCAGCGCCAGCCAGAAGGCGGCCACGCAACGGCCCAGCCCGCCCGGGGCCGCCATCGGGAGCGGCGCCACCGCCGCCTCGGGCCGCGCGCACCTGAGGGGAGGCGGCAGCGGCGCGAGGGCGGCGCCCACCTGAGGGCAGGGCCGGGCCACGCCCTTCACCTGAGGGCAGGTGGAGACCACGCCCCCACCTGAGGGCGCGCCTAGGACACGCCCCCAAACTCCTGAGGGAACGCCCAGGACACGCCCCCAAAACTCCTGAGGGAACACCCAGGACACGCCCCCAAACTCCTGAGGGAACGCCCAGGACACGCCCCAAAACTCCTGAGGGAACGCCCAGGACACGCCCCAAAACTCCTGAGGGAACGCCCAGGATACGCCCTCCGCACCTTAGGGAGCACCCAGATCGCTCCTCTCCCCCCGCACCGGAGGGAGCGCCCAGGCCGCCCCTGTCCCCTCACAGCTGAAGGCGCACCCAGGCCGCCCCTCTCCCCCCTCACCCGAGGGCACACTCCACCCCTCTCCCCCCTCACCCGAGGGCACACTCAGGCCGCCCTTCTCCCCAGCTGAGGGCGGGCATTGGCCGCCCCTCTCCCCCCGCAGCTGCCGCAGAGGAAGGCCGGCACACGCCGCCCTCAGCGGCTCCGCAGCGCTGGGGCTCCAAGGCTGATCTGTAGCGACCGAAGGCATTTGGGAGCTGAGACCTCCTTGGAAGCGATACTCCATGCCTTTACAGGGAGAGCTTGCTTAGCTGGCACAACTGGAATTCACAAAGCCTTTGGCTTTTCTTGGCGAGAAGAACAATGGTGCTGTGACTATCAAGCAGAGTTCCGCTGGTAGCAGAAATAAAGCCCAAAGCTGAAGGTCAGATTTTGGTTGATGTGGTAAAGTATATATGGTTAAATCAAAATTGTCTTGTGCCTTTTTAACTCTCCAATATCCTAGGTAAAAACAGCTAAAAATTAAAATGCTTGGCTTGGTCTCAGGCTGCTAACTTAAATATTCTGCAGTACAACCAACAGATGKGAACCTGTCTTTATTATATTGAATAATTCTTTAAAAAATAGTAGCAGCCATTTCACCTTTAAAATCTCATGTAGATTGCTGCCCATGGCATGCATGCTTCTTACTYCTGAAAGACATCACTTATAAAAATACTTCTCAGCCTCTTCTCCCTGGAACAGGACCTCTCTGCCCTTTGACACAAGAAATATTTAAGYATTTTTGGTTTGGGCCAGGACAAGATAAAAGGTGATGAGGCCATTAAGACAGTGAGGTTATTTGTACCAGCTTGTAAATTAGATGGAAACAAATGAATCATAACAGATCTTGGTGAAAAAAAACGTTCTTGGGATCAGATTTCTATAGAAGGTATTTTACTTCATCAATAAATTTGTTTACTGAAAATACACCACTGAATAATGATATAAAATGTGTTACAGAAGACAACGTTCACGCTGACTGTGGCACACCCACCTTTTTGGGTGCCTGCTTCRGTGGTTTCCTGGCTGACTGTTTTGACTTGCCAGCTTTAGGTGTTGCAAAAGACTTTGCTTCAGGTTTTTTTGGAGTCTTTTTCGTGTCTTTTTCTTTCATTGCTTCCTTTGGCTTTCTGACCTGCTTGGCTTTTTTCTCTTTTGGTGCCATCTCCAAGTCTGCACACTCTTCTGTAATCTCAGGTWTTGAGTTTGGAGTGTCCACGAGAGATTGTTTCTTTCTCTTACGGAGGTGTGTTTTCTTGCCCAAGTTGTCACCTTTTTCTGAACTTGGTTCCTTTTTCTGTATTTAACACAAACAAAGAAATTACTCTTCCACAAAATGTACATACTCCCTGTTTTTCAAGAAAGATCAGTGAAAATCATTACAAATGACAAATGCTTTTTACCCACGAAACTGCTTCCTAGTCTACCAGAAGTGTTCTAACACATATTGTTCCSTGAGGAGCAATGAATAATTGAACAGTTCCAAATCTATAGTTTTAACTGAAATGCAGGTTTCTCAATATTATAAAACAAMTTACCTTCAGGTCAGCTGAGCTCATTGTTTCTATGGGCACCAGTTGTGGAATTTCCTCATCATCTTGATCAGCTGGTTCTTGGACTATTTCTACTTTTTCTTTTACCACAGGCTCCTGGGTACCARCAGCAGCTTTACTTTCTTTTGTCACAGTGACTGGATTTGAATTCTGTTTTTTACCTGTCTTCTTCACTTTCTTGCGTTTTGCCTTCTAGAATTAATCAGAAGTACATCCCATAAGATTTTAAAATGTATAATAATTGTTTTAATGTGGTTATAAATTAGATGGTGTAGCAACACTAAAYTAAAGATTCTTATTCAATAAACCTGGACTGATCGACCAGATCAACCATATGTAAAATATGAAAAAATGCATTGCATGCAGGTTATTATAAATAACTCATAACTATAGTAATGTCAAGCTTACAGTCTCTAACTTGAATGTTCATGGTCCAAATTTATTTCAGACAAATGAACATAAGCAGAACTTGGTACAAAGGAATAGCAAATTATTATTTTTTTAAATAAGTATGAGCTCCCCCTATACACACCAACACATGAGCCTCAGAATTATTCAGATACCACTGATTAACCAACAAATAAWTAGATGCATAATCTGAACCCACATATATGTTCATGAGTGTATTTTCAGAAGGCAAATAGGGATTAACAGTACAAGCAAACCTCTASAAATGAATCTCAGCTCCCTTCAGTTTAGGTGTAGAAACATTCTATTTCCAGTTTGCTTTACAACCTATAAGGGAGTTACCTTAATTTCATTAATGTTACTGAGGATTTGAAGTGCTGAGGGAGGGGTGTCTGACCAGTTTTAGCCATAGATTCTGGGATCAACTGCTAGTACATTGGGACCCAACACTACAATGCATAAAAGGAAGACAAAGAACTAGCTGCACCAATTTAATTTATGCAAAGTTTGAAATTTTGTTTACCTTTACTTTGTTTTTCTTGAGAGATGGCTGTTTGTCAAGCTCATCCAGGCTGGACATATTTGCAGTATATATTGGAAGTGCAACTGATTTAAGTGTTTTGAGGTGAATAATTTTTACATTTTTCCATTTCTGCAAAAACAAACCCAGTATATTATATAAAAATAAGGTTGAAGCATGGACTTATTTGTAATGCATTCAGTCAGCAGTACCTTAGGTAACTTGTCATCAATCACTTTTGCTGCTGCAATGATATTCTCAAGAATCTCATCCACTTTCATCGCAGTGTGACCTATACGCGTTGTACTGAAAGGAGAGAAGGATAACATTTATATGTGGGCAAATAAACTTCTTTCAAGTTACTTGTATGTAGGCAYGTCCAGAAATGCAAAAAGCCCACTTATATGCAATTATCTTAGCATTCATGAAGGACGGACAGTTATTGCAGAAATCTTCTGGGATTAACAGTTAGAATAGATTCACCTGAATTCATCTTTCCATAKTTGGATATGCAACTTCTGCCTTACATTAGAAAGCATATTACCAATTTAGATCCTTTTAGATACTCAATAGATTTAAAAAATCTTATTAGAATATAGTATTTTGGAAATAGGAAATATTATTGTTAAATTAGATTAAGACGAAGATTGTACATRCTCTTTGACAGTGACAGATGCCTAGAAATTTCTTAGATAAAAGRAAAAAGAGAAAAAAAATTACAGTAAAACTTCTTAAGGAGAACTACTGATTTAATTATACAGATTAAGGTTCAAAATGGCCCCTATTTGGAATAATGACCCTTAACATCTTTTATTCACAAATTAAGGGAATAAAAATAACTCACATAAAATTCCTACATAGAATGAACAGCCATCCTTCAAGTGACGTATTAATCTATTTGTACTTACTAACAGCACCCTTTGTTGTTAACTGGGAGTATTGTCCCTTGGATATGTTTTTCTATTTCCTTAGCAAGATTTTTGGCTTTCAGGTTTACAGATAAAGGTGCCCTAAAAAAGAAATGGAGAGGAGTAAAAAAAAAAAAAATCATTAGAAAACCCAAAACAAAACCAACCCCCCCTTTACTAAGGGGATCTGATATTAAAAAAGATAATGCAAAAATGGAATAAAAAAGTTTAAAGACCTACTTTTTCTTTTCATAGAAATGTTTTCCTAGATGGGAGGGCAAGAGCCTTCTAATTCGGTCATCAGACAGAAAGAGATCAAAACTGTTCAGGAGGCGCCGCTTTGCTTCAAACATTTTATACTCCTTTTTGAGCGTTTTGTATGAGATAATCTGCAATGCAAGTACCAATTTAGTTCCCCACTGCTGAAAACACAGCCTGAAATGCTTCTTAGAACTGCACAGATCTYTCTTACCCGGCTAATACTTCTGACCCCATTCTGGATTAAACGTTTCTTGTAGAGATTTTCAGTCTGTTCTGCTGATAAATTTGGTTCATCCTTTGTGAACAGGCAAACCTCAGCTGTATCTGGTCGAATGCCATGGGGCAGTGGTCTACAATGAGAATATGAGTTGCATAAAGAATGTCTAATAAGAGAAAGAAGTTTTTTCCAGAACTAGGACTACACTGAGAGATCAGTACCCTTTAACAACAGAGAACTGCCTGTATTTTGATTCTCTTAACTACTAAATATCCTCAGTGGAGTCTATACTTTATAAGCATACAGAACTGTAAAAGTAAAACTCTGAAATACCAGGGCTCAATCCAGATCCAACACTGAATCCTCTGTCCTGCCAACAGTCGTTACCACAGGTGCCCGGGAAGAGGATCCTTCATGCTCCTCCTTTTATGCCATGGGGGCATCCAGTCATTAGACAAAACTTTGTAACACTGGAGCCCTGATAAATTGATGTAAACTTTCTCAACATATTTCTCAATTTTAAAGGGACACTTCTAACTAATATTCAGGTTTGATTATCACAAGAAAAAAGAAGCAATGATTTTGTGGTGGCAGATCAAGACAAAGAAGCCGATTTATTTTCTCGAGCTTAAGGAGTGAAAGGCACATACCCTGTAACAAGAGAGTCACAGAATCAATATTAAATGGGCAAAAAGCTGGCACAGCCCAGGTTCCAGTTATACCAAAAGTAGGGGTAAAGAGGGTTCTGACCCGGCAGTTCTTGGTCACGGCAGGGAAGCTGCCAGGACAGGGTCGTGGCAGTCAAATCCCTTACGCTCAAAATCTGCAAAGTGCTTTTTTACAAGCCAAAGGACACGAGCAACCCCTGTAACCACGCGGCCGGGTACGAATTTCTTACATTCTGATGACTTTTGCCTCCCGTGGGACCTTCCAGACCGTCACCAGRAGATGGACGCTCTCGCCCTCGCTGAGGAGTAGCGCGGCTTTCCTGGCCTTCCTTCTGGCGAAAGCCACGAGTGCCTCCACCGCCTTCTTCACCTGCAACGGCASCACAGCGGCAGCGGCCGCAGGTCAAGCCCAGCTCCGCCGCTCTCCCGCCCACCCGGCTCAGCGCAGCTCCCGGCCGGCTCCCCGCGCTACCTGGGCACGGTCCAGGTGCTCCTTGCGCTCCTTCCCGCTCGCCATGGTCCCACCGGTGCCACGTGCGGCCTCCGCGCCTGCGCCAGCGCCGCTTTCCGGGGCACGGCGGGGCTCGTCCGGGGCGGGGCGAGCGCGGAGGGGCGGGCACGGCTGGGGGGCGGTGTCGGAGATCGCCGTGTTGCCGCTGCTTTCCGCTCCTGCTCTCGGCCGCAGGCGCGGGTTGGCGGCGGCGGTGCTCGGGTTGCGGGGGGCGGCGGGCCCGTCCTGACCTGGCAGGGAGCTTTGCCTCAGCAGGGTCACGGGCTAACCCAGCTGGGAGCAGGGCGCCGGGGGCCGTCAGTCCATCCCGCTTCGGCACAGAGCCAGCCGGTGGTCAGGCCGGGTTGCTCGGTGTGCCGTGTCCTCACGATGAAAAAGGCTTTTTCCTACTCGCCTTATTTCATTGATGGTGCTTTCCTGGTCCAGCCCCAGATACTGCTGGCYCCCTTTGCCTCCAGGGGTATCTCGTGTTTGTTCCCCGGGCGCCTTCCAGCAGAGCGGTTCYCAGGCAGTCATTCCGCAACCCGTGTTGCCGCAAGGGGCTGCTCCTTCCCTAATGAAGGTTTGCATTTGCCTTTGTTGAGAATTGACAGGGTAGTGTTGCCAAATCTTTGCAGCCTGTCCAGRTCCCTCTATACATAAGGGTAATGACTGGTCCCAAGTTTGATGCCCACTGCAAACTTGATGTGACCATGCCTCAGATTATTGATAGAGATATTAAATAGAACATGTCCCTGGATAAATCCCAGCAGTACTCCCATTTGTTGCTGGCCTTCAGGTCGAGTATAAGCCATTATCTCTGCCCTCCAAGCCCTGCTWCCCAAACAGTGGTGACCTATCTGGTTGGCCACCCACCACACTATCATGTTTAGGAAGATTTGAGTCATGTCTTCAGAGTCCTTGTTTGAATACTCTCCCTGATTTTGCTTGCTGTGTTACTGTCCTTTTGCACTGGAGTGCTGTCATAAATTCCTTGTTTAAACCAGGCCAGTCTCCTGATACACAGTACCTGTTTTCCTGACATCAGGAGGGAATGTTTGTGTGATTGGAGGAGGTTGTCCTTAAGGACCTGCTGCCAGCTTTCCTCAGCACCTTTGCCCTTCRGAGTTGCCTCCCATGGGATCCTGCCCACTGGTTCTCTGATCAAACCATTCTGTCTTATGGACTCTAGGGAATATTTTCTGCTGCTCATCTTCCTCATACACTCTATGTCTTGAACTTCAGTGTTTCCAGGTCACTGCTGYTGGGGCAACCGCTGATTACCACATGTCAAACCTTTTCTTCCTGATGTGTGACTAATAAAGGCAGAACTGCTGCATCTCCTGTTCAGTTTAGACATGCATTGACTGACTACAGGGAAGTAGCTTAATTGYGGAATGCTTATTCCATTGAGTTCCATGCTGGATAAATACATCGTTCTGAGATMAAATCTAGCCTGGAATTATTCTGGTCTCATTTTCACAGTGCTGTGTGTGCCCTGGCAGCTTTGGCTTGTCTGCATTCATCATACAGGTAAGCTGCTATCTGGGTAACACAACTATGCATAACCAGGGTTTAAATATGCATGAAATTAGGAGTCTTAGTCATTCGCTCTACTCTAGTTTTTTTCCCTATTCTTTGCCTTTCTATTTATGGTTTTATTCCTTCTCATCAGCTGTTTTCCAACAAAATTTGTTGCTTCATTAGTGTGGCCAGTGCAAAGAGAAAGAAAATAAAATATCCTAATGTCTTGACAAACTGCTTTATGYAGTGTGACATGTTAAAATAAAATAGAAAGAGCCAGGTGACTGGAACATCTCTCTGAAAATGACCCAGGCTAGTCTTGTGATTGAACAGCGTGTTTGAAGACTGACTTTACTGGGTCAATATAGCATTAATRGGATAAAACTAAAGGGACTATTATTAGTGACTCAAGTTTTTCACGTATCACTCTCATCCAAGTGCATTTTTCTTAACMATTTTAGGTCTGACATGACTGAATTTTACTAAATGTGGTTTAACTGATTTTAATTTTCTCTTCAAAGGTACTTGGCATAGCTAACAGAGCTGTCTTGAAAAAATTAAGTTAATCTCTGAGTATTTCTGCTTAATACAGCATGCAATGAATATAAACTATAAAAGAGTGCACTTTTAATTTAGCAATGTCATAAATTTACAGTTGCTCCTACAAAGAAATTAGGTTTGTTACTTTGATTYGTGTTATTRCTGTAAAGTGTTCTGTTGTAGCTCTCAATTTAACTTTTTGGATSATAAAAATACATATTTTTCTTTAAATTATTTGTGTCACTTATTTAAATGCTAAGATTTAAAAAAAACTGCAAGACATTCTACCTCAYTACTTAAGAAGGTGTTTCTTTATGTGCCTAATTTTGTATTTTCACACAGCAAAATGGTTGGACAAGTAGCAATTTTTTCYGCTGTGAAGAGATCTTTGAGGTTTAAAGTTATTCAAGTTCCAGTTCCTGTCTTCTGTTCCTCCAGACTATTTGATGTCAATGTCAGAATCTCTTATTCAGAAGTACGTGGACTTTTTTGGATGTGTGGAACTGAGGGGAGATGTAGAAAAATTTATGGTGGAAGGAAGATGATAATTTTCAGGAAGGAAAGCCAATGAAAGGATATGTRTTATTAAAAGTTATGTATACAGAGACAACAGATTTCGGGTTTGTTAGCATCAATTTCGATTTTATATTAAGACTAGAATCCTTTCTAGAATTTCTTKAGAGGAAAAGTAGTATCTTGTCAGGTTTATAGTGCGGTAAAATAAACACAAGGAAAGAAACACGTTCACAATATAAAATCTTCAGTAGTAACTCCAGTTTTGTTGGTATATTTTTCTGTACCAAATCCTCTATAGGGTATACAAAAACAGCAGAATAAGTAAGTGCCTTTAAGTACCAGTTCAGGAAGAAAACAGTCTTGTCTGGAGTACATGTCATCTGCTTTAACAGCATCGTTTAAACAGTCTGCAGTAAGACCCGAAAAGCCAGAGTAATACAGAATCAAATACCTGGGACATTGGAACAATCTTTTTTTCTTAGGTAATATTCAGTAATAAACACTTAAAAAAACCACATTTCTCATAATTAACATGATTTTAAATATACGGACTGGTGGCATAAGTAGTCTAAAACAGAGGTTCTTCATTGAGCAATTTTCCCTGGGCTTTTTATGCCACTGAAAAACAACTGTAGAGGGGCATAAAAATCAYGACCAGCAAATATCCCCATGGATAAACATCCTTAAAGCAGCTATTTTTCTTATTACACCATCATCAATAGCTTGCTGTTCAGGAATCCAATTTTCTACCAGAGTAAGTGTCTCAGGAAACTGGTGTCATGATGTTTGTGCATCAGTTCCTGATTGGCTGCAAAGATGACCAAGGTAGCTGGAATGGTTTCAAGCAGGCAGTTCATGGCAATGTTACTCAACTGATTGCTGTATCCATTCCTCCAACTACTGTGCTTTACTTCTAGTAGCTTGCAGAAATAAGGGATTATTTTCCTGTTGCTAAATAATTAGTACTGCTGCACGTTCCGATTTTTTTTGCATTTAATTTTTGTTACAYATACCAAGCTTTTCAGTTCAAGGAYATACAAGGTCTTAATTTATAGAATAACAACTTATGTTTTTATAAGTTACATCATGGCTTAACACTTAAGCCATGTCTACACTACAAACTTTGGCCAATAGAGAGAATAGGTGTAATCCTCATTTCACACTGCAAATGCCATTATACTGAAAAAACCCCAAAAAACAATCCCTCCTTTCTGCAGAAACATGCTCAGAGTTTTGCTGGTATGAGATAAAGCTACACCAGGACCCAGGAATACCCTGCCAGTATCCCATGCAAGCACAGTTACCGTGGCAGTGCTCCTAGGGATGCTGTGTCTTCAACTTTTATTTTCCTCTTTTCTTTTTCCCCCTTCAATTGTTGTGGTTGCACAGCTCCTTTATTTTTGTTTCATCTTCAAAGCAGCATTCCACATTTTCACAAAAGGAAGTATTCAAAATGGTCATTTAAAAAAGTTTATTACATCAGTGAATCAGCAAATAGTATTTATTTCCAACAAAGCCACATTATCTTTTGTTCTTCTTTCATCTAGATTTAGCTGTATTTAATAGTAGCAAAAATGGGACCATAAAATGTAGAATGGAGATGAAGTGGAAAAGATGTAATCTGAGGACTATTCAAATACAATGTACTTCCAGCTCTTCTACCCAAAATGCAGCCAATTCGTGTAGATTTATGCCTTCCATTTTCATGTATTTGCTATTGACTGCAAATATTTTATACCCAAATAAAAACCTCCTACAGGATAGCAATATCTTTAATTGCATAATGTGGATTCTGTTAATGAATTTGTAATAATACAGCCTCTCCCTTTACAGACAAGGTAACATTAACTGGAATGATGGAAATGGTAATCGAATGTACTAGATGGGATGAATAATGGAAATACTCAGACTTTCTATCTACTGATATTCCAACCCACCAGATGATTATTCATTTTAATAATAAATACTCAGTCCAGCCTCAAAATAATGAAGTTTTAGAATCCCCCATTAAATTTGTTCAAAAGTGGAAAACTGATGCTCGAGCATCACRTAGTCTTCAGATGTATTCCAATGCTTTTAAAAAAAGTTTCAAAAGATCTAACAATTTAAGTATTCTCCAATAATGGTCTTTGCAAATTTTAAATCCATGAGCTTACTTCAAGAATGTAGTCAGATATCTGGAAATCTTGTCAGTCCAGATTATGAACAAGACAGTAAGGTTCCTTGGCTTTTAATTTCTTCATTAGTTTAAGATCCAAGGAACTGTGGGTTTTGTTCACTTGGTAGGAAAAAAAAATGCTACTTTTAAACCCTGATTTATCAAAAAAATAAAAGCCCAGAGATTTGCAGACATAAYAAAATTTATTTAAATTCCATGCATTACGGTAGCTACAAGTGTAGTCATATGAAACTGAAGGACAATAACTTCTTCTGTCCATACAATGTAGCTGTAAGTGAAATGAATGGGAGTTCCACAATTACAAAGAA